ATTACCAAGTGCGTGAATGACATGGGGCGCATTTGGATCCATTGAAGTGGGGTTGGAGTTCTATCCATGGAGAACTAACGCCGATTTCCTCCAAATATAATGAGCATGATTAAATGCAGCTACACTGAGGCTACGGACTGTGGCAGATCTTGTGGGTACAGAAAGCATGGAATTACATGGTCAATTGCATGTACAAATTGTTTTGGGACCAACTGTTCCAATCCTGAAATAGTCGAAAATGTAATAAATGATAGTGATGGAGACAGTGATGACAGTACTGATGATGAAAATTGTGATTGATAGTGAAAGTGTTAGATAAACATATGATAGTAGTTTTCTCACTAATTGCCTTGCAAATAACAAGAAAGTTGGTTCTCAGAATAAAGGGGATTCTAATCGACTCATTAATTTCCTGTTAGTTTTTCTTACCTATCTTGTCTAATCTATGTAAATTTACGTGTGTTACAATGTAAAGATGAGCCTACAAGACCATGGTTGGTAAGAAGGTGGAGCAGTTTTATTGCAAAAATGCCTTTCGATGTTTTCCAGAAAGCCCACCCACCGGGGTCGGGCATACTTTTCAGTGTCAGAATTGGAATCCCCGACCCCGAAAACCGCCCAGTGGAAATTTAGAAGGCAATTACTCAGCTATTCGATGTTTTACAGAAGCCCCCCTCCTTGCCCCCCGGGGGCCCAGGAGCGTCGTGCATACTTTTCAGTGTCTGAATCGAAATCCCCGACCCCAAAAACCCCCGAGTGGAAATTTAGAAGGCAATTACTCAGCTATTTGATGTTTTACAGAAGGCTCCCCCTTGTCCCCCTGGGGGGGCCCCAGGGCCGTCGGGCATATTTTTCAGGGTCAGAGTGCACACAAATTTCTACAACTTTTAGTCAATTTTTACCATTTTTAGAAAATTCGGAAGAATTGATGCACTCCAAGATCATCATTGTAATCACTTTATGCACCCGCAATGCAGTTTCGATCCAGCCCCAAAGTGTTATAGATAGACTTTTTTCCTGATATTTTTCCGAAGACAATGCCGAAAACCGCAATTCGATCGGTTCATCAGAAAACAATTTCTGATTTATTGTCTAACTTGCCTGGTCTACAAGATTATTTATTTATAATCACCATATTCAAAGACTTATCAGGTAAAACCATGTACCCACTTTGAATTAATTTGATCAACTCATTTGGAAGATATACAAAAACAATTTTTTTATGAAATCTTTTAGAGATATGTTCATATGATGTTTTTCTTATTTTTTGAGTACTTTTTGCTATTAATTTTTATACACGTTTTTAACACTGAATGTAAAACATTTAAACATTGGAACTAAACTCTCTGTGATTTAGTTCCGATATTACAAAAAAATGTTCAAGCTAAGGTTAAGTTTTTCAGTAAGTATAAAATGACAAAGATTTATATCTTAAAAAGAGTCGGATATTGTAAATACCTGAGTTTTTTTAATAGTCTTTTTATAGTCGGTTCATAAAATTTTTAATACACATTTTATAGAAACTGAAGTGTTTGTTCACTGCTATCAAAATATTAGAGAATGATATTAAACTTTTTATCGTGAAAGATTGTGTAGAACTTTATCCTTCATTAAAAAACTAAACCGTTTTTAGTTGCTGTAAAGAAGCCGTGATTTATCCTATATTTAAAAATGTTGAAAGGTCGAGAATTATAGACCAATATGAATCGTTTTCATTTTTCTAAAGTTTTAGAGATAGTATCTATCCTTTCATTCATAATCAAATTTCTCGTACCAGCATGAAATCGTTAGCGGCTGGTCAACTTTTATAAATTTCACTTTATTTGGGGAATAATAGTTATTAGATAGAGGATTGGTAGATATGATTTATACCTACAGATTTTTCGAAGGCTTTAGATAGAATTGACCAGAGAGTTTTGGTTTATGCAAACACTGTGTTATGTAATAACTCTATTTTATTTCATCTTTTTTATACAATGAAACACAGTTATGTCACGTATTTACAATGTTATTGATTTTATCAGTTATGTAGCAACTTCTAGAGAACTTCAGGGTTCTACACTTTGCCAGTTATTGCTTGTTTTATTTATCAGTGATCCTAATAAAGTAATCGGCTATTGTAAATAGCAGACGATTTAAAAATATTTCAATCCAAACTTTAGTTGATAGCCAATAGTGCGTAGAAATGAATGAAGATATCGTTTTGTAGAAAAGGATTTGAGTGTTTTGTTTGACACAAAATTTTCATTTCGTAATCAAAGCAAGTAAAGCACTGAAATTTTATGGATTATGGAAAAGTCATGAAGAAGCAAAGTTGCTTTTTCTTTAATGGAATATCATGTATATTACTACATATTTCAATTCTTCTCGATATTCTAAACAAAATTCATTACCGTTTGGGAGATATCGAACTTTGAAAGTAACTTTTTACCACTCAAATTTATAAAAGAGAAAGTGACCCAAATTATGGATATTTATTTTGAAAATAACACAATGTGATTTTTCTATAGCTATCTTACTTTAGGAGACAATCGACCGTTTCCATACATATCAGCAACTCTGTACAAATATATAATAATATATAAACAATTTCGTTTTGCTCGGAATTAACTAACGAGCATTAACCAGAAAAATGTTCATATGTTGTCGGTTACCGCATTTCAAAATAATCCGCAAAAAGGCTTTAATTGGTCTTTTAGCGCTCGCCGCAGTTCAGACACATCCAATAATTTATTTATTTCAATTAAACCAGAATGCAACAACGAATAGCTTTGCAATGAAATTTAATTAACCTCTTCATGATCCTCATTGTAAACGTACCAAATTTAATTTTAAAGATTAACTTGCACGTGATGACAACAAAACAAATTTATTTAATTAAAACCATTTCAATTTTACGGCACGATTCGGCATTTTGTTACGTCAAATTCTAAATTCGGCAAATGGAGTTTCGTTATTTTCTATAATTAATTGAGCAGCAGTCGAACGGGGCTAAAGGTCAACATTTTAACTGTATTTAACTGTCACTTACACTAACTTTCACTGAAGCAGTTGAGTTGACACAACTAAATTATTTCACGTTATGATTTTTCTCTTTTCCCTTTTTCTATTTATCTTACCAGTTGTTCAATATTGGTAGTTATTTAAAACTAACCTTTAGTTAGAAGTTAGTTAGAACATGGAAAATGGTTTTTAGATATTTAAGTGAAGCATTAAACATCGAAATAAGAGAATGTTAAAGCAAAACATTTATTTTATCTGTTCTGTCCCCTAATTAATTTCTGTTTAATATTGTTAATAGGTTAGGTTAGGGTAGGATTACTTTTTTAATTATCTACATTTTTTAAAATTATTCTATCTCCACAATTTTTACCTATTACATAGACTAATCTGAGACCTTATTAAGGGATAGGAAGGTGATATTATCCAAAAGTTAACAATGCTGTCAAATTGACGGTATTAGCTGATTGAGGGTAATGTCACAATATTTCTTATACTCCATGGATTAAGAGAACTGCAAGTATTTTAACTAAATCGCACTAATTAGTCCGTGAGGAGCTTATTTACTCATGGACAATGTTATATGGTAGGCCGTGACAGTGACAGGTAATATTATGACAACATTGTTATTGTTTGACAGTTTGTATTATTATTTATTTAAAATGGGTTACACAGAAGTAGAAAATTTAAATGTTATAGGAATTAAGATAGAGTAGTTAAGTTATTCTCCATAGTTTATTTTAATTCATAATAATATTTCAATTTTCTACTTCTGTGTAACCCATTTTTTTTTTTTAATTAAACACTAATACAAACTGTCAAACAATAACAATGCTATCATGACATTACTACCTGTCACTGTCACGACCTACCATATATAAGATTGTCCATGAGTAATTGGCCTCACACGGTCTAATTAGTGAGATTTACTGAAAATACCTATACGCATTTTGGACTATATCAATGTACGATATGTCAAAATATATTACAACTAAATCTAAATCCTTACGTAATTGGAAAAAAGGCAGAAATGCCTGAAAGAGGTCTGACAATTACAAGATGTCTTATTTTCTTAATAAAAAAAACATCATTTCGTTTTTTAATATTATCTCGCCTATTATTAGAGATGGACCCAACTAACCCTATATGACTATGCTCGACAAGGAACGTTCTATCCGAATATGTAAAAATTTACAGGGTGTTCCATCTAAATTAACAAAGTTAACATCCGCGGCCATTTTGTTTGAACTTCTTTTGTTTTTCTACTATCATTTTCGTGAACTTCATAAAAAATGGTGCAACTTTTGTATTTCAGATTTTTTTATAACTCTTAAAACAAAAAAGTTGAAGGGGGTTCAAAATATAGTGAATCACCCTGTACTTTAATACTTTACTAAAAAAAAACAATTTTTGTAGTGAAACAAATGCAAAAGAGAGAAACATTTCTAAGAGAGCTATGTTCCTAAATGGCATATTTTTGAGTAGCATATCTTCAATACGAGAGAGAAAAGAGAAAAATGCATGACAACCTTTGAAAAGATAAAAGGACACCCCAAATAGCATTCTCCTATGTTTCTCCAACTGTGAGAAAATAAACACTGAATTTTAATATACCCCCTCTCCCCTTTATTTTTTAGAAAGTAACAGCTCTTTAAAGTTTTTCGCAACATTATAGAAATAGCCTGTATATCCTTTTTATTTAGGTCACATGTCCTTATATACAATGTAAACTTTCCAAAAGATTCATCTTTATCCTCGGGCATACAAAAAGTGAAGGTATAAATAAATATCACGTATATATTATATAAGAAGCAAATAAACAAAAGATTGCGTGTATCCATAAAAATGTTAAAGAGGATCAATCACGGCTTGTTTAAAAACGAGCTTTTTTCAATTTCGCAGACAAACAGCAAGACACATAAGTTCCTTTCCTTGAGAGGGATTTATGTAATTGACTGAAGGGTGTCTTTATTATTGAGTCAAGCTTATCTTTGTTACAGCCGATACGGGTTTCGAAGAGTCGACTCGTACAGCTCAAGGTTGCGTGCTGGGTCACAGAATTGGTCCTTTGTGTTCGATCCTGCGGGGCGGCTGTGTTATTACTGGTCCATGGTCGTCTCCTTAGCGTTCCTTTATAATTTTTGGGTCATTATTTACCGATTTGCCTTCCGGGAAATTGATGGTAAGTCAGATAAAATCATATTTTCTTATCTTTTTCTGCTTTCGTGATTTTTAGAACGCTATTTTTTAAGGAAAGACAAAAACCAATCTCGTAAAAAATATTAAATTCCAAATATTTATTGAGTAGTACTTTATTTTATTGTTACTAACGTTATCTTTTAATTTCCTAAGAATTTGGATAGTCAATCGATTTTGTAACTTACAGATAACATTAAAAATTAAATGAACTGATTCTACATTATTTCGATTGTTTAACATGACATTAGTCAAATCAAAATCACTATCAAAATCTACTTAAAAAGGAAATCTAATATTGTCTGGACCTAATTCGCACACGGAAAATCTCTACGAGAAGGTGACACTTTACAATCATTTCCATTTTTTACGGTACCTCTATCACTAAAAACCACACTAAGTTTTGAGACATTATACAGGATGTTCCACCTAAAAGGGATTCTTCTGTAATAAAATAGTTTTAATAAAAATTGTCTGGAATCATGTGGGTCATATAAAAAAAATATTTTCAGCTTTACAGTTGTTCCATTTTGCGTAGGCGCTACATAACTTTGTTATTTTAAATGGAACACCCTGTATATTATTAAATTTTTGAATTCCTTGGTTAATATTAGGTACAGTTTATTAAATGTACATAGTGTTTAAAACTTACCGTTTTCGAGATAATCAGTTATTTTTTAAGAGAATCGCAATTTCAGCTCTCTAAATGAGGCTAGATAGCGTCTAAACCGTAATAGTTAGAAACCTGCAATTTGCACAATTCGTTTTGACATAAATTACTCTATCTTGTCATCTGTGAGCAAAATATTATTCAGACTCGGAAATAGTGAGACCTACATTTAATAATCTATGGACAACCTTATATCAGTCGAAAGGGCATTTAATTTTGCATTCACCCATGACAATTGATATGGGTTATTCCATTTGAAAAAAAAAGAAAACACCACCTAACAATAACGCTGCGGTTCGTCAGTTTTTATACGAAACTTTTCCCAACATATGAATTGGGCGCGGGAGACTAGTTGCGACTTCTTTTTATGGGGATTTATAAAAAGCAAAGTTTACATTACAACACTAACTACCGCGGAAAATGTGGCAGCGCATTACAATAGCATTTCAAGAAATTACCTACACCAAACATGCTGAGCAATGTTGAACAGTCTTTTAAAAACCGAATTCGTTTATGTATTAATCGAATTGGAGGACACTTCGAGCAATTGATGTAAATCAGCGGTCTAAGTATACTTTTCCTTGTTGTGTTCCGAGTTTCAGTTTGTTTCGTTTTGCGTTTTGTTTTAGTTGTTGTTAGTGGTTTACTTTTGTTTATCAAACCACTTTTTAAACATACCAGTAAATTTTGACACTGTCAGTCCCAGGCCTGATAAAATGTGAGAGAAAAGTCGTTTTGCAAGGCCTTCTTCGACTTTAGAAAAAAAACAATTTTTTGTGGAAAGCTGTTAAAGATAAGTAAGGAGTAAGGACAACCCTATATCAGTCGAAAGGGCATTCAATTTTGCATTCACCCATGACAATTAATATGGGTCATTCCATTTGAAAAAAAAAGTTTTTCAACTCGTAAGATTATTAAATGTAAGTCTTAGTATTTCCGAGTCTGTATAACGTACACGTTTTGCTCACAGATGACAAGATAGAGTAATTTATGTCAAAACAAACTGAAAACTGCAGGTTTCTAACTCTTACAGTTTAGACACGCCATGTACATTTGATAAACTCTACCTAATATTAACCATGGAATTCAAAAATGTAACAATATACATGGTGTACCATTCAAAATAACAAAGTTATGTAGCGCCCCCGCGAAATGGAACACTCTGTAAAGCTAAAAATGCTTTCTTCACATGGCCCACATAATTCCAGGCTAGTTTTGTTAAAACCATTTTTTTATTTTTACAGTTGCAGAGTTACAGAAGAATCCCTCTTAGGTGGAACACCCTGTAGATTACATGCGTAATAAATATTGCTCAATTTTGGTCTGAACAATTTTTAATAAAATGGGAATTTGAAATCGAAATGTCCGTTTGACAATAAGTTTTAAGATTAAAGATAACTAATTAAATTAAATTATTAAGATCTTCTGTTGCAAAAAAAAACACTGCACTTTGTGTTTTGATATAAGACAATTGCAAATTTCAGAGAATACGTTTTTTTCAAAAATGTATTTCGCCCATTTTGTTAATTCTTTTTTCCCGACTCATTCTGCATACATTATTTGCTTTTGCCTTTGAGATTTAGTTTTAGAAAAAATTACTAATTGTAAGTTGTAGCACAGCATATGTAAACAAATATCACTTTTATTTCCTGCTTCTGCATATACTGATGTTATTTAACGAGATTCTCAAAGAAAGGGGTCAAAATCGGGGAACGCATAGCCGGGTGTATTGGCCTGCGGATTTCGATCTGCCGAGTCAAGCATCACGGACGTGGGCCGGAATTTGGATGGGTGACCTAAGGCAGGCTCGGGGACGTGGCTGTGGCAGCCTACCAAGAGACCTGGGTCGCCCAACATTTGCCGCATGCGTGTTGTCCCCGATAAATGGTAATGGGAGCAGAGCAAGAAATCTCTGTATCTCAAGACCATGCTATCATACATAAACTGTACGAGACTTTGCCACCAAGCCATCCGTGTAGTAAATAAGATGGTTTGAAGAAAAGTACTCGAGTAATGAAGGAGGGTGTACAAAGGGCCTAATAAGGCCTAAGTGCCGTGTCGGAAGACAATTCCACCACACCTCCGACATACATACATACATACAAGGGGTCAAAATCTCTGTAATAATTTGTATATATAATTACATTTTACATCAGAATGTCAAAGGTCATGTATTACTACAGAATAAAACCTCTAAAATTATTATTAAACTTGACATTAACGCTTGCAACTGTTATATTTGTAACTTGCAATCTTTTATTGTTTTACATATTACCTTAGATGTGCTAATTACTAAACAAAAAAAAAAAAGATAATTGTGATATACACG